TATTTTATCTTCCAATTCTAGTAATACGCTAGTGTACAAACCTGGGGTACTGGTACCATCTGTCAGAAAGGATATTCTTGACCAAGCCGGCGAGACGATTGATTCCTGCAAGCCCTGTTTATCATGCGATGGATGGATGGACTTGCGATGATATTTGGAATGGGCATTCCAGCATGCCGTCAAAGTGTTTGCGACACACAATGTGTATTGTTCGGTGGCGATTTCGTGTAGGTAGGGTAGAGTGAAAGTGAAAAAGTGAACAACACATTTGCTGGTAGCAACGACCAACGACACTGTTGACTTTGTTTCTCTCGATAAGATATAAACGACGACGTTTCCCTACTGCCTGTTTCTACCAGGTAGCTGTACGTCGTGAATCGACAAGAGCCCTTTGTGTCTGTATCGTAGCAACTGACTATTGATTCCCGCTTGGCCGCCGGAATGAACGTACAATATCTCTCGACCTGCCAATGGCTTATTTGGATCAAATCTGGAAGTTGATTTTGTGAGCTGCAATGAACCGTTGCGGATCGAGTTGTTTCACAATGGACGACGAGGACACAGAAGTACGTACCGCAAATCGGGGCTTAGGTCGACATCAAAGTGTCGCAACATAATCGTCCAAACAGGAGCTCCGTAAATCAAGTCCAACAAGACATCGTGGTCTTTTTTCATCGTTTCAAAGGTCTGCAAAATTGCTTTCTTTGGTTGCCCGAAGGGAAAGTAGGCGGAGGGCTTCTTCCCCGAATCTGGTGTTGGTTGCAAAATGGTTGGAATGTCTCCAATCGAAGCACCAATTTCCGCACACAAGGCCATCATTTGCCGCTTCGCGTAACCAGCATCACCGACACATGGAATCACTACCACCTCAATATCCAAATCAACGCCATCGGTTGTTTCATGGTGGTGCGCAATCAGATTTTGAAGTTCATGGTGCAAAAGGACTGCCATGGTGCAGGTGCCCCCGGGTACGCAAACAGACAATGGCTGGTCGGGAGCTTCCTTGGTCCAAAAGTCTACAAGTTCCTTGGCCAACACGCGAGCACCAACTGACGCCATGCCAAACGCGCCACCTTGTGGAACCTAAAAGAAGAATTGTGCAAAAGGGATTTTTGAGAAGAGTGAGTTAGACATAGGACAATCGTACTTTTGACCCAATGCAGTAGTTGATTGGAAACGTACCCACAACGAATCTCCCTGGATAGGAGGGACTAATCTGACAGGAGCCGTCGGGCTTCCACCATAGTCTCCACCAAAGAAACTGGCATACTCGTCCTGTGATAGCTCTATTATCTCCATGCCTAGCGACTTGGCACGAAAGAGATTTCCACTTGGTTGAGTTCGTAAGAAACGTGGTAACTTTTTGGTGTAGTACACGAAACGTTTGAGCATTTGATCAGATGTGTCGCATTTTTCAACGGTATCCTCTTTATCCCCATTGCCCTTCTCGTTGGAACTACCAGCAGAAGAAGTACTGTTAGAATCATCATTTTCATTTTGTGTGTTTTGTTTGTGGTTTTCCACCGATGCCTGCCGATTCTTGTAGTTCACCAGTGCCGCCAATGCAAGCATAGAATTACTTTGGGGTCCTCCATAACTCACAAGACAGCTGGGAAATTCGTTGTAGGGAACCTCGTTCATGGCCAACAGTTTGCGAGCCTTGTTACCGGATATTTGAGAACCATGCAAACGTAGTAAATCATCCCGTTTGATGTAGACGCGTCGGCCAGCAATGAGTTTTTCTTCCACCGGAGATGGCTTGGTTTCCCGGATGGAAAGGTCATTCAGATTCAAAGTCGACCATCCGCTGTTGCAGTTTGGGTCTGAACTGGAAGCATTCCGAGATTCCACAACATCAAGCAAGCCTTCTATTTCGTTAATGATGTCGCCCCATTGCGAAAAGCAAGAAACTCCCGAGCTATGGAATTCACGTTTTTGAAGCACGCTCCGAAGGCCGTGACTATGACGAGTGACCATGAGACTTCTCGAAGAAAATCCCAAACAAAACATAGATGATGTATTCGTCAAAAGGAAGCTCATTCCACTCCAAATCGATGGGAGCAGTAGCAAGTGCCAAACAGAGGCAAGGAATGAGAGCATTCCTTCACTTCAGCATGGGCCCACCACAGAAAAGCAGTAAGATTGGGCCAAATTATGAAGAGGTA